GGGAAAATGATGGAAAAAATGATGGAAAATGAGGGGAAAATGATGGAAAAAAATGATGGGAAAATTGTGGGAAAAAATGATGGGAAAATTGTGGGAAAATAGTGGGAAAATTAAGGAAAAAATGGTGGAAAAATGATGGAAAAATGATGGAAGAATTTTGGGAAAAGGATGGAAAAAATGATGGGAAAAGGGGTGGGAAAAGGATGGGAAAATAATGGGAAAAATAATGGAAAAATGATGGAAAAATGATGGAAGAATTTTGGGAAAAGGATGGAAAAAATGATGGGAAAATGATGGGAAAATTATGGAAAAAATGATGGAAAAATGATGGGAAAAAACGATGGAAAATGATGGAAAAATGATGGGAAAAAACGATGGAAAATGATGGAAAAATGATGGGAAAAAACGATGGAAAATGATGGAAAAATGATGGGAAAAAACGATGGAAAATGATGGAAAAATGATGGGAAAAAACGATGGAAAATGATGGAAAAATGATGGGAAAAAACGATGGAAAATGATGGAAAAATGATGGGAAAAAACGATGGAAAATGATGGAAAATGATGGAAAAATGATGGAAAAAAATGATGGGGAAAATGATGGAAAAATTTTGGGAAAAGGATGGAAAAAATGATGGGAAAATGGGAAAATGATGGGAAAATGATGGAAAAAATGATGGGAAAAAATGATGGGAAAAAATGATGGAAAAATGATGGAAAAAATTTGGGGAAAGGATGGAAAAAATGATTTAAAAAATGGTGGGAAAATAGTGGGAAAACTACGGAAAAAATGGTGGAAAAATGATGGGAAAATTACGGGAAAAGGATGGAAAATAAGGGAAAATGATGGAAAATGGTGGAAAAAAAATGGTGGGGAAATGATGGAAAAAATGATGGAAAAAAATGATGGATAAATGAGGGGAAAATGATGGGAAATTATGGGAAAAATGATGGAAAAAATGATGGGAAAAGAGATGGAAAAATGGTGGAAAAATGATGGAAAAAATTATGGAAAATGATGGGAAAATTGCTGGAGTATCCCAAAAAAAAAGGGGGATTTGGGATGGGAATTTGGGATTTTTTTATCTCCTTGTTTGATCCATGGAATTCCTGGGAATTCCTGGGAATGGGATCGGGAACGTTGAGGGGTTTGATCCAATCCCTCCCAGAATTCCAGGATTTTTCCAGGATTCCGCGTCCTTTGCCCTTGGGAGCAATTCTTGTTTTTCTGGGAGAAATTCCAATTTTCCCTGGAGAAATTCCCGGTTTTCCAGGAGAAATCCCCCTTTTCCCGAGAAAAATCCCTGATTTTCAGGGAGAAATTCCCATTTTCCCAAGAGAAATTCCCGGTTTTCCAGGAGAGATTCCCATTTTCCCATGGAAAACTCGTGGTTTTCCAGGAGAAATCTCTGATTTTCTGGGAGAAATTCCCGATTTTCAGGTGGACAAATCCCCATTTTTAGCCCAGAAAATTCCCTGATTTTCTGGGAGAATTCCCATTTTTCCACGGAAAATTCCCGCTTTTCCAGGAGAAATTCCCAATTTTCTGCTGGATAAACCCCCATTTTCCCAATTTTCCCCCAGAAAATTCCCGGCTTTCTGGGAGAAATTCCCATTTTTCTTGGGAAAATTCCCAATTTTCCCATTTTCCCGAGGAAATTCCCGCTTTTCTGGGAGAAATTCCCAATTTTCAGGTGGCTAAATCCCCATTTTTCCCCGTTTCCCCCCAGAAAATTCCCGGTTTTCTGGGAGAAATCCCCATTTTCCCAAGAGAAATTCCAAATTTTCAAAATTCCCAATTTCCCCATTTTCCCCCAGAAAATTCCCACTTTTCCAGGATAAATCCCTGATTTTCCGGGAGAAATTCCCAGTTTTCTCC